TGTGATTTGAAGACACCGAATGCCTTGATTCAGAGCTAAAAGCATCCTGCTTTTCCCTTGGATGCAGCCCTCAGTCCTGGAGGGTCCTGCCCAGGGCACAGTCTGTGCTCTGTGTGCTCTGACACCGAGCTGGGATGTGCAGCCAACCCTCCCAGCACTGCTGTGGGCAGGGACAGCCACTTCATCTGCAGGGCACACAGCTCAGCAGCTGCCTATCTCAGCTGGCCCAGGTCTGGCAGCAAGTCTGCAGCTTCAAAGAAAGAAGAAATGAGCTCCAGCTCTGTTCCCACTGGTAAAATCTTGGGAAAAGTGAGCCAAAGCCCAAAGCTGTCACCCCAGCCTTGCAGTTCTGCTTCTCACTTTCTGATTATCTCTGCAAACTGTCAAGAGGATTAGGGAGGCAGGAATCAGCTTCAAAGAACATCAGAAGCAAAATATGATCTCATCTGAGGGGCACTTCCATGCACTTCCAGCCTCTTTAGATATCTCATGGTGGGAAAGGGATGAGGCCAAGGGGCTGCTCATCCCTGGGCTGTGGCTGGTGGGAACTCCACCCTGGTGCAGCACTTGGACCACCTCTCCTCACTCTCTTGGGACCACTCTTTTCACTCCTGCCCTTCCCTGGGGCTGACCAGCAGGGAGATGCTCCAGCAGGACAAGTTGCTCTTGGATGCATTGCCCTATTCCCTCTGGAATGGCCTCAGCCATTCATGCTCCCATAAAAATGTCTGTCTTGCTTCAAATTTGATTTCCAGTCCTTGTGCTCTGGACTCCTGGCAGGGCTGCACTGTGGCTGGTGCCTTCATTGTTCTCACATGAGCTTTACAAGGAGCCAGAACTCAAATTTTCTGTGGGGGCATCTTCTGGATTTCCTGTGCTCTTGTGAACACCAGTGCTGAGAACCAAAGAGAGACTCCCTCAGTCTTGTGCTCCTCTCTCACTACCACTGAGGTGGTGAAAAACCAGTAGCTGATGGCTCTGGGTGGGAACACACTGTTCAAATGTTCACTGATTAATTCTCCACTGTTAAAATGTTTGTGTGTTCAAAGTGAGCCCCCCTGGAATGAGCAGGAATTGGGGAATCCACCCTGTTCAGCTCAGCCCCTGGTGGCAGCCAGCACTGGGCTCACACACAGCATTTTGGGCCTGTTGCACTCCCCACTCCCAGAGGAGGTGGGACTGATGTTTCTGAAGCAGTTACTTGAGAAGCAGCTCTATCATGGCCATAATTATTTCAAGAAATAGAATAACAGCCCTGCTTTGCATAAAAGATGAAGGATGCCGCTGGCCCCATGCATTGAGGAGGTGCCTCTTTTAGCCTTGCATCTAAGGCAGAGCAAATGCCATTGGGGGTGGGCAGGAATCCCAGCTTGGAAACCTGAGGAACTTTTCCAGACACATTTTGGCAAGATGTGCCCAGCTCTAGTGACCTCAGCACTAAATTCACACAGGGTGGAGGCAGCAGGACTGAGTGGGCTCGTTCCTTGCTCTGATCACTGACTCAGGGGTACAAAATGTGCAGCAGATCCTTGACTGTGACCCAGGGGCTGCTGGGGGAACATGGAGCTGAGGCAGGACTTGAGCAGGAGCTCTTCCAGCTGACCCCCCCAGGACTCTGACTTTGCTGACACTGACAGTATTTCAAATAGCTGAGAGCTGCAAGTCCTGACTCCTGTCTAGACTGGAGCCTGGGGTAGCCCTTTGGGAAGGTGGAATGAATTTTTTTGCTTGACGTGCCCTTTTCTTCCTCCTTCTCTAAGCCATGTTACATTTTCTGTGTGCTGGGAATGTCTGTGTGTGTATGTGAGACAGGAAAGGCAATGGGATATTGAAAATGTGGGATGTGGGACCTGGCATGATGGAAAAGATGGAATAAGGGATGGATGCTGACCTGGTTTTTTCTGGGATAGTTTTTTTTTCCTAGCTGGAGCAGTCCTGTGTTTTTGATTCAATATAATAATAAAATGGATAATGCACTGTCAAGAGGACTGTCTGTATTTTCACACACCTGCCCTGTCCCTTGGCACAGGGATCCCAAAGGCTGCAATAAATGGGGATATTCCTCCCAGGGAGGTTTCCCTGGTCAGGAAGGGCAACTGCAGAAGGCAGAGGGAAGCAGATGCTGTGCCTGGGTGGCTGTGGCAGCATTTCCCATGGAGCTGCCACTGCAGTGTGGGACCAGACCCTGCCTTTCCCTGCACAGATTATCCCTCAGAGCTGAGGTGGAATTAACTCTGTTAAGAACTCCCAACTATTTCTGTTCCAGCCCTGGGCTACTCTGTATTTCCAACAGGGAGAAGGGGTTGTCTTCCTTTTAGTGATGGTCCTTGGGACTTGCAGCTGCAGCAGGAGGCAGAAAAGAACAATTAATTCAGGATGAAGCTCCTGAGCTGTGCCTCCCTCAGTGCCCAAGCACAGCTGAGGGGTGGCAGCTGCCCCTCCTGACCCTAGGGACGAGCAGGGTCACAGCTCCACCAGCCCACAGGGAGAGCTGTGAGTGCCAGGTCCTGCCAGAGCTCCCAGAGCCCTCCAGGGAGGCTGGGAAAGCAGGAGCAGCACAGGAAATAATGGCCAATAACAGGGCTTCCGATACAATCGTGTTCTCATTTTGGTGTCAAGCAGCCAGCCAGGAATGAAGGGAAAATACCATTCCCCTTCCTTTTTTGGCAATAATGGCTTGTAACCTCAGAGGAATCTGCAGCCTTCAGGGGCTGGCTCCACATTTTCTGCCTGCACCTGTCTCAGCCTCACAAACACCCCCCTGAGCACTTTCTCTCACCACAAAACATCCACAGAGATGAGCTATGGGCCTCACTCCTGTCTGGCACTGCCAGGATCTGAGAGTTCCCTCACGTGGAGACAGCTGATGGGATTCTCAGTGCTGCCCAGACACTGCCACAGCAATTTCCTTCAAAAGGCATGTTTAGATATTGAAGAAATCCATAGGTGTGCTCTGAACTCCTTGTTTAAGTCCAGAGCAGTTTCCTGGTCCCCAGGACAGCTTGCTGGCTTCTAACAAATATCCACAGGAACCGAATGGCAGGAAGAGCATGCCCTGAGGACAGATCCATGCTGAGGTATAAATAGCTTAATTTCACAGGGCCAAGCAGCTTCCTCAGCCTGGCAGGGCAGATCCCAGCAGGAACCTGCAGCTCCTGGGGCAGAGCTCTGCTTTGGGGTGCACAGGACAAGCCAGAGGATTTTCCACCCACTTTTCCTTCCATGGCTTTTTAAGCACAGGAGTCTGAGTAAGAGCTTTTAGAGCAGGGAGGACGTGGGACACAATTGAAGTGCACCTGAGAGGGTGATTTTGTGCTGGTTGTCAGGAGAACCTTGGCAAGCAGGAGCACATCCTGCCTTTTTTTTTTTAGATCAGCTCTGTTCCAAGAGCATCCCTGGTGAGGCATTTCATAACTTGGGATATTTTCTTCAGGAAAGTGCTCAGGCAGTCCCAAAAGATCCAGAACATTTCCTGCACGTGCTCCTGCCACAGAGTAATGAGGGGCTGGGTAGGCAGCCAGGGCACTGAATCTGGACAGAGAATGGAGTTTCCTGGAGCGTGGGACAGGCTGGGTTAACAATGTTGGACCTGGGGCATCTGAGCTGGGTGTAATGGGAAAAGGAAACAGCTCAGCACAAGGACCAGGGTGGATAAAGCAACCAGAGCACCAAGAAAAAAACAGAGAGAGGAAATAGAAAGGGAGAAAAAAAAAAAGACTTCAGGAACTAAGAAGTAATGCCAAAAAACCACTTTCCAATTAGAGGAAAACTTGCTGGGAAAGCAGGATAAGGGTAAAATGGGGCTGTTTTCAACAGGCAGGAAAGTGTGACCCACATGAATCGAGCAGGTGTGTTCACCTGGAGGTGCAAAAGCTGAATTTAGCTGTGTGGGCATATCAGAGTCCCCTGGGAGATGGAAATCACTTCTTGTGTTGCTTCACCATCATTGGCAACACCCCGAGACCCTGAGTCAGAGCTGAGAGGAAAGATTTTTGCTTTCTGGAGGTGTAGGTTTGCAGCTCTCTTCAAATACCATCGGACAAACTCACTGCCTCTGCAGCATTTGTGTAAGAGGATTCAAAGAAGCACAAATTGGCTTTTACCAGGAAAATGAAATTAATTCACATGATTATTTGTGGGGAAGCGAAGGCTGAGCCCATCCAGCACCAGAGGAGTTCATGTCATCTCCTATTCAAGGCACTAAAAGTCATCTCCTTCATCTGAGGAGTCACAATCTCAGCTTGGAAGATCCAAGATGATTCAGTGTTTAGTAATGCATTTGTCAAGTAGATTTGAAAAAACCTCAGCATTTGGGGGGAATATTCTAACAAAAATTCCCATTATTGGAATGGTGGTTGAATAGGTTGCATTCACTTAATCACAGAGGACCATGCTCCTCTGAAGTTCCTGCTTCCATTAATTCCTGGATCTGAACTCAATGATTCTGAAATGTGGGGGAGAGGCAGCTCAAAGGGAACAAAAATGAGCAATGGGACACTTTTTACAGTAAAATATATCCAATGCGGTCACCCAGCTCTGCTAGGAATGTCTCACAGATATAGGGACAAATGTGTAGGAGGGGAGGAATTACAAAGCATCCTGCTGGGAAGGTCCATGCCTGGGGAGGAAGGGAAAGAGAGAGGGCTTGAGCATTCAGGATGAGTCTTTGGAAAAGCAATGTGACAGCAAAGTCCTTTAGGATTGAAGAATTTATTCTTAAAAGGAAAGGATGTTTAGGAAGTATCTGTTATTTGGGACACTAAACTGATGGGACAATCCAGCTTTCAAGTCCTGGAACTGAACAGGATGGGTAATCTGGCTCTCACATCCATGTCCCTGAGAATTCAGCTGCCATGAACACCCAGATGCATTTGGTCTGTTCAGGGTGTCAGAGCTTCTGCTCCCTCCTGGGCCAGCGGAGAGGTGGAAGCCCCTGCCCTGCTGGCTCTGCCTCAGGCAGCTCCCAGAGCCCACCACCACTGAAAAAGCAGAATCCTTACCTTGGACAAAGACATAGATGCTGGCCACGAGCCCCTGGTGCTCGGGGGTGCTGCTGGGGGCACAGCTGAGGTAGCCGGTGTCGTTGGCCGTGGCTCTCCTGAGGACGAGCTGGCTGCAGCCCAGCCCGGCCGCGTCGCGGCAGCCGCTCACGTGCACCCGCGGGCTGTCCTCCCTCAGCTGCCAGCTCACCGACGGGGCTCCCCTGCCAGCACAACACATCCAAATCACACTGCATTCAGGCAAAAATGGGCCTTCTTCCTGCCCAGTCTTCCCAGTGCTCCTACCCTTGTCACTCCCAAAAAAATTGTAAAGGTCACTGAGACTGCGACAAAATCCCCTTCCACCCATACTACGCTATTAAAGACATTCTAGGATTTGTACTAATACTTTCCCTACTCATCTCCCTGGCCCTATTCTCCCCCAACCTCCTAGGAGACCCAGAAAACTTTACACCAGCTAACCCACGAGTCACCCCTCCACACACCAAACCTGAATGGTACTTCATGTTTGCACTTCCACCCATCAGAAACTGAGCTGGATCACCCCACACTGTTCCCCAGACATTCCTGAAATGCTCCCTGGGAACTGCAGCAAGCTCCTGGAGAAAAGTTTAATTTCTCTTCTAACACACTGCCTGAACACAAGTTTGTTTCTATAACACTGTATTTTAGCCACTTCAAACATTACAAAGCATCAGATAAAATTATATGTTTGTTCAAGGAGGAGGATTTTGCATATTTTAACTGCTAAATTAATGTATATTTTCTTGCACTGAGGTTGCATGGAGAGATGAGGATATTTATGTAATTTTTCATCTCCTTTCTTGCTTAATCAGCAGTGACTCACTCTTGATTTTTGTGAAGGGCCTGAAACTAATCAGGTTACAAGTCTGGGAATATCTGCTCAGGACACATTTTTTCCAATTCCCTTTGTGGCAGCAGCCAGAATATCAAGCCAGGAGGGCAGAGGATGAAACATTTGCCCCACCTGACCCTTCTGTTGCTGAATCTCTGAGCACAGCTCATGAAAAATGCAATTCCATGGAGTTCAGGACAAAAAGCAGGGCCTGGGTGTCACCTGCTGTGAGACCCAGAGCTCCCAGGTGATCTAAGTCACAGCTGGATGTGCTGGAAGCATCAGACCATGGCAGCAGGAGCTCCTGGAGCTCCTTCTGAGGGCTCTGGGGATGGACCAGAGCTACCACACAGGCCTAGGAGATGAAGATGATGGTGGTTTTTGTAACAAACTGGTTTTTAGTGTGGAAACTGGTGGGCTGGGGCGTTATCTCCTGTGGATTTTCCTGGGGAAGAAGTTGGTGCTGGAGAGAGGGAGTTGTGTGTGTGTTTGCCCTCTTCCTGAGAACAGGGGGGTTGGCTCCCTTCTTACTCAGAGAATTCCCACTGGCCTTTGCTGGGCTGAGGAAGGAGTGAGAACCCCTGGACTTCCCCAGCTCGGTGCTGCCAGAGAGAAATCCAGACATGCTGACCCAGGACTGAGATGGCAATGCCCAAAGTGTGAAATTCCCAGTTAGCCAAGGACTCAAAGTTCCAGCAGCCTGCAGGGGTGCAATAGGTGCAATCAGAGCATGTTTGCCAGGACATCCAGTGACATTTCCACGAACATCCTCTTGGCCCTCGTTCCTGCCCGTCCCCCTGTCGCCTTCCTGGAGAGGAGGCGGACGTGGAGCCCTTGAGGTTATTCCCAGCACCAGGCTGACGGGAGCACTGGAAAAGGGGGAATATCCTCTCTGCTGAGCAGCCTCGCCCTTGTTCTTGGATGTTCTGGTGGTTGGACAGCCCCACCCTACGTCAGAGCAGCTTCCCATTGTCCTTCTGAGAACCCAGAGCTTGGGCCCACCCTACCAACGTCACTGGTGACTCCAGGACTGGGATTGCTGGTCTGGAGTAGGGAACAGAGCCAGTTCACACGGACACAGCTCCCAGCACGTCACCGTGTCCCTGCCCCTCGTCACCCACACCCCTCTGGTGTCCATCCAAGCTCTGGTGGCTCTGCAGGGCAGCACTGGGAATTCACACCTGTGCTTCCTTAAGTCTTTCTCCCCCTCCATACATTATCCTGTGGAAGGTGAAGCCTTTGGCTGTTGCTTTGGGATTTTCACACCTCTGCCAGGAGGGAGTGGCAGCAGCAGCTTTGGCTCCACTATCACAAACCAGGAAATCTTGGCCAAGAAGCTCAAAAGCTTGGAGTTGAAGGGAGGATGGACATTCCTACAGACCTGCTGGGGCTGTGCCCCGTGCTGTGCCCCACACAGCCCAAATGCCCCTGGCAGGACAAGGAATTCCAGAGTTCCCTGGGCCAGGAGCTAACCTGTGAGTGTGGCAGAAGAGGCAGGAGGGCAGACATCCCCAGAGGGGCTGATCCAGGGGATCTTGCATGGAGAAACCACAGTTTCCTTTTCTTCCCAGGTTTTGAATCACCTGAGCCAAGGAGCTGAAGGGCTGCAGGCCCTGGTCCCATGTTACACCCCATGCTCACATCTTTTGTGTTTCTCAGACCTGTCATGAGGATTTCTTGCTTTGCATCCATAAAGCAACATGGGACTGAAGTGCTTCTAACTCCTTCAATTATTGATTTGGTGATACGAGAAAAGTAGGGTGGTTCTCCAGATTAAAAAGGTGGGGGATGGAGAACTGCTGGGAAATGTTGATTTAATTGGCCTGGGGCACCCCAGGGACTTTGAGTCCACACAGGTTTTATGGAGAGCACCATTGAGATGTTAAAAGACTGCTCAGACTTTATTGCCATCATGTTTGCTGTTTGCCAAGCTAAAAATACCACTGGAAGGTTATTGTGACCTCGTAAGCCACATGGCAAGCTGGAGGGATTTGGAAAAAAGCTGCCTCACACTCCAGAAGACATCCCAAATTTACACAGTCTGAGCCCATTCACCTTTCACTATAACAAAGAATTAAATAGTCTGGGACAAAAATCAGAAGGGATGTGTCAGCGAAACCTAAAGCTTAGATTCATCTTCTCACTGCTTTTTTATCCTGTTTTTAGTAACTTCTGTTGCAGGAAACCATCCAGGTAGTGGCGCCAGCCAAGGGAACCTTGCAAGAAGGTGTAAAATCCATGTGTGTGTGAGAGAGAGAATGAAATTGTCAGAGTTTGTGTTACCTTGGGCTTTTTTCCTGCAACACTCTCAGAGAAAAACCTGAGAAATGTCCTCTGGCAGCAGTGAAGTGTAAAAATCCCACTCAGAACAAGTAACACCTCCATCCATCTCAGTCTGGGGCCTTTTGTGGGACCCAGCAGCTGCTGCATGTTCTGGCACAGCAGAGTGCTCTGGGTTTGCTCCTTCCTCATGTGTCAGCTGTGTCCCTGTTCCCAGAGCATCCTCTCCCTGTCAGCACCAAAATCCTGCTGGTCCTTGCATGGCTGGTGGCACGCATTGTGCCAGGACTGAGGCACTGCTGTGATTTACAGCAGCAGCACTTTGGTCTTTCACAAATCCTGGTTAAATTTGATTTAAAGAACATGTTATGTTTAAACTGGCTGGGGCTTTGAATGTACACACAGTGACTGCTGCTTATTTAAGTGTCTGTGATGGGCTAGGTGGCAGTTCCTGGTGATCTCTGTTGTTTCCTCATGGACAGGGAGCAAAGGAGTGATTTTAGCTGCAGAGGAGCTGAATCTGCCCCTATTTCAGAGAGGATTTCCAGCCATGTCCTCAAGCACAGCACATCCCACTCCCATGAGCTCTCCCCTGTGCTGACTCAGGGCTTTGCTTGGGCCCCTGAACAACACAACACAACACAACACAACACAACACAACAAACACAACACAACACAACACAACACAACACAACAAACACAACACAAAGAACTTGGCCAAGCTGACCCCGACTCTCCTCCCTGCTCTGTCACAGCCCATCCAGCTCCCTCCACACAGCCCCAGCTCCCAGCTGGCCCAGCATCAGGCTCTGCTCTGTCCTGGAGCTCTGCTGGGCCAAACCAATCAACACAAGGACAAAAATCCAGCGTTTTTTGGAGCAGTCCTTACCAGCATTTTATTTTTAGGGTGTCTCCTGGTGAGATGACGATTTGGTCCTTGGAAATGCTCAGCCTTGGTTTTTGAAGAAGCTCTTCCTCAGCGAGACCTGACCCAAAAAAAGGAAGAAACCATCATTAGTTTAGATGGGCTATTCAGTGGTGTCAAAGCAGCACAATGCACTCGAGACAAACTCTTTGTTTTGTAAATAGTTCCTAATTTGGGGGCCCACACAGTGCTGCATTTATCCTTGGCCAGGAGATGCCCTCAGTTTGTTTTTGTTTCCTTTATTCCTCTCTTTTCTGACACCAAGCACCTGCATTTGTGCCAGTAGTGTTTTGAGCCAGCTTTATTACTGAATTATTGCAGATTTAGGAGAACAGATCTGTATCAAAAGGATTTTGCACACATATTAAAATGGAAGGAGTCAGGTCCTTGGGAAGTAATTTGATGGGTGAGCTCATACATTACATTTTAATTGAAGGGAGAAGAGAAAACAATAATTCTGGGGAGCAGCTCTGTGAAGCAGCTGTGATATTAAAGGCAAATTGGAAGACCTGGTGTTTCCCAAATGACCATTCCCAAATGAACATTCCCGAATCCTGGATCTGAGCTGAACCCCAGGCTCTGTGGGCACTGTGGTTGGGGTAGTGCTCCCAGCAGAGTCTGTGATTTTGTCAGGTCTCTGATGACCAGAGGCATTAGTGACAGCAGTGACAAAGGTCTCTCTCATCATCTCCTGGCCCAGGAAATGTCTCCTGCCTGTGGAACTGTCCCCAGGGACAATCTGAGTGTTCATCTACAATGAGACAATGTTCAGAAAGTGAAACTGAGAAGAACCAGAAGTGGAGGTTGGCCAGGCTGGTTGCTTTGTCCAAATTCAAAGTGACATAATCAAGGAGAGGAGAAACCAGGCTCTGATAAGGATCTCCACTTCCAAAGCTCTGACATTAAAGCTGTGTTTTCTTTCCCCTCCTGCTCTTCAGATTTCTCTCTTCTCCTGTGCCTCAACCTCGATAAGGCAGAAATCCTCCCTGGGCTCCCAGCACGGGCATTATTTGCAGCAGACAGGGAGATATCATATCTGGCAGAAAGAGAAACACTAGGCTTTAACTTTTCAACTGCACGAAGCAGTGATTTTCCTGCCCCCACCTCTCTGCTCTCATCTCTGAGCTGCTTGATTTCAGTAAATTGCTCTCTGCCTGGCATCAGCGTGGGCAGTGACTCACTCCCTCTTTGGAGTCTCTGGCTTCTTCCAGGAGCTCCTGGAGCTCCTATCAGGAACTCAGCAGATGCCAAATAACCTCATGGCACCACAGAGTCCTCCAGAGGGGATCCTGCCCAGGCACCACGGTGCTGGACTGCCCTTGGAGCCCCTGACCCTCCCTGCAGACCCTGGCTGAGACTTGGAACCAGTGCTGGCCACCAGAGACAGATCCAACCCACTTTCCCTGCTCCATCTCCAAGGTCCTTTGCAGAATAAGAAGTTGGTGTCTGGCCAACCCCACCTCCTTCCAGTGGCTCTGTGGGACATTATTTAGCACCTCCAAGCTGCCATTGCATGGCACGCTGGGCAAGCAGAGCAGCTGGGGGTTCCAGCCCTGCAGTTCCCATTTATTTGGGAAGCACTGCCATTCCTCAACACCCTCAGGATGGCACACACAGGGAGCAGCATCACATTGAGCTGAGAACCAACAGAAAAAGCCCCAAACTCTGCAGGAGGAGCCACTGTCAGGCAAGCCTATCCTTGCTCTTGGCTCCAAGGCCCCTCTGGTTTCCAGGCAGAGCCAGTTCCCACTGGGAATGGGCTGAGCTTGGCACAGGTTCTCTCATGGTGCTGAGGCATTTCACAGCTCCCTCAGACTGACTGTGCTGAGCTTTGCAAAAATGCTCCAGGATATGGCCAACAGCCCCCAATTTGTCTGTCAAATGCCATGAATTTGCCAGCTGAGGGGGGTTGGGGTCCCTGTAGCTCTCCCAGGATCTGCTCTGGGCTGTTGATGCTGTGACTTCAGCCAGGACTTAGAAAATCCTGGGGTTTGAAACAAAATTGTTTCTCTCCTGTTGTGCCTTCAGTTGTTCTTAGGGCTTAGGGGAGGCTCAGCTGGTGCCTCTGGAGCTCTCATGAGCAAGTGTGGCACTGTCAGAGGGTCTGGGGTCAGAGCCTGAGCTCTGCTCTGACTGTAGAATCTTCAGGCTTTTACAACATTTGACACCATTCTTGCTAAGAGAAAGAAAAGTATTTTTCAATTATTCTGGTTTTGCTTCTGAGTTACTTCTTGCCCAAAGTTTATTTTGGCTTCGGGAGCTGAAGAACAGAATAAGCAAAGCGGAATTTCAGTGCTTTTCTACTCCACAGAGGACAGGAGGAGAATTCCTGTGCCACACACATCTGGTCTCTGCTGGCAGGTGACAGAGGGTTTATATAAACACAACCTGTGCCCCTTCTGCCATACCACTGCTGAGTGGGCTGGGAAAAGAACATTTTGAGGGCAAAACAGAGAGAGTTGTAAGGGCAAGGTCAGGCTGTGCTAGGGCAGAACACCGAATGCCAAACTGGCAGAGTGAGACCTCACAATATCCCTAACATCCCCTGGCCCCTTTAGAGCTAGACTTGACTTTTAGGAGGCAAAGCTGGGGATAGCCCCAGGGTGTGTTGGATGAGGAGGATGGAACTGCTCCACTTGCATATTTGTTGTGTGTGCTTGAGGAGATTCACGCTTTTATGAAGGTGTTAGGATGCTGCAAGGGAGAATCAAGCACATTCCTGGCAGTGCACCCCCTCTTTTCCACAGCCCTGCTCCCCAGCCTTTGTCCCTAAGCCAGGACCCAGGGTGGGGTGAGAAACCTGCTGGGCTGGGTCCTGCTGCAGCTGAAGTGCTCTGGTTGCACTGCTCAGATTCCAATGCCCAGGCTAAGAGAACATTGTCCTCTCCTCCCTGATAAATAATTTTGGTCCTGCTCTAGGGCAACAAGGGACATAAAATTAAAAGCGAGCCATCATTACTGTGTCATGACCATGGCAAAGCTCCTTGTGAGAGCCACAAGAAGAGTCCTGGGTGCCACAGCTGTCCCTGCTATCCCCTGTGGAGCTGACCCTGCTCTGGGTGTGCTCCTGGTGCAGCATCCATGCCCTGGCATGGTTTGGGAAGAAGCGCTGGAGTGACAATCCTGCAGCTCTGGCAGAGGCTCTGTCTCCTTCAGAGCCACAAAGGGGTCTCAGCAGCACAAAGGGGTCTCAGCAGCACAAAGGGGTCTCAGCAGCACATCCCCTGTGTGAGCCATGGGGGAAGGACAGGCTGCTCAGGGGAGGGACACCTCTGCTCAGGCTCCTCACTCCCTGCCCTGCCTTGGCTGCTGCCTGCCCAAGTTGACTCCAGCAAGACAAGAGCAGCACCTCCAGCCTGGAGATGCCCCTGGAAAGAGCCCAGGTTGTCAGGGCCCAGGACATCCCTCTGGCTGTCCTGAGCAGCCAAGACCCCTGCCAGGGGGCTCAGAGACCCTGGCACAGAGCCCAAAATGCCTGTGGGTTTGATTATGACCCATGGAGCAAATTACCAACCTTAGATGAAGATCTGCAAGCCATGACAAATTAAGTAGAATAATAGTGAATTTGTCACAAGGTGGAAAAGTAGATTTTGGGGCTTTTAGAATAGAGGTTCAGGGGGCAAGATGGAGGGAACTGGGCGTGTCCAGCCTTTCTCCTTCTTCTTCTTGGCCTCCATCTTCTGCTGTGATGGTGGCACTCACAGATTGGTTTAGAGTAGAAACTGTCTAACATAGGTGATGGGTATTGGAGAGTAATTGTAAACATTGTACAGGTAGTTTTTAGTATAAAGACATAACACTGCCCTGGGGGCAGGCAGAGTGCCTGGAACTGTCCTGCTGGATGGACCTCGGCAGGGCAGGAGAAAGAATTTTATAGATAAGATACAATAAACAACCTTGAGACTGAGAAATGAAGAGCCCTGACTCCTTCTTCAAGCGTCGGGCTGGGAAAAGAGATTTTTCTAACTCTTCTCAGGGTCACTGTGACAAGCTAGAGATCCCAACACAGGTGAGGACAGAGCCTCTGCCCAGAGCCTCACTGCACCATTTCTGATCTGGGAGTTCATTCCTACCTCCAGTTCAGGCTTTAACATTCTGCTCTCGGCGCTGAAAACCGCAAACACAGCACAACCACAAATCCTCGGGAGCCAAATGTGAAAGGTTGACTGATACATTATCCAGGGGAGAAAAATATATTGAAAACTGCTTTTCCTGGGATAATCTGATTTTGCAGCAGGGCCAACATTAAACACGGGAGGCTCCCCAGGCAGAGGGTAATGGGTGACCTCCCTCACCTCTCTGTCAGATGGTTTCCAACTCCATCTCACTTGGCACAGGGAGATCCCTCCCACGCACAGCCTGATGCTCCATACTGGGCCCAGCAGTGAGCGCGGATAAAAAGTATTTTTAATCTCTGTTCCTAATTGTAACAGCCTTCCTCCAGGCATCCTCTGGGCACTGCAGCTCTGCCTGGCACAGCTCTCACAGATGGTTGTGAGCCTGGTTGTGCCTGGGTGTGGCTCAGTGACAGCTCAGTGTGATCCCTGATTAAGGATCTGGGGCTCCCTTCTGGCCACAGGGAGAGCTGGGGGAGCAGAGCCCACAGAGCCTCTGCTTCAGATGACAAGGAAATCACTGCTGGGCAGAGCAGAGAGGGCTGTGCTGGCAGCAAACGAGGCAGGTTAGGGCAGGGATGGCACGAGGGCTTGGGCACTCAAACAGCTTTGTGCACATGGGTGAGCTCCATGGACTCCTCACATGTGTAAAGTCACTCCTGTGCAGAGAACTGGGCCCAGGGCACCTCAGGGCCCCTTGGAAGGGACTGGGAGTCAGAGTTTGGAGCTGATTTGAGTCAGGGAAGGAGGGTGACAGTACAGGAAAACATGAAGGGTTTAAAACTTCACTGACAAATTATTATCCTCAAAAGACACAGGGAGAATTGAGAGAGCAAACAACCTGACCCAAAGCAGCCCCCTGAGCACAGGAAATGGGAGAGAGGCACTCAAACCACAGCAGGTCTAGAGGGGAAGTTTTCCCCAAGCACTTCTGACCCACAGCTGC